ATATATAGATAGCAGTGTTAAAAACAGAAGTGGATTTTCTTTTTTAGTCATACAGAGCTACCTGCATGCAAAATTTCCATAGACAATCAATCATCAACAGAAAGTCAAGTACAGCACCACTGAATACCCAGAGAAAGCATAAAAGGAGTTCATATTTTGAGAAAGTAGCCTGGCCTAGTTCTGGAGAGCAAGTGATCTCACCGATACTGACAATGTTAGTCTTTAAACTGATAAGAATAGAATGGCTCTCTCCTGTTTAACAAAATAACGTGAAGTCACAATTATCTCTGTTTGCTAGAATGACCTTAAAGGATAAAGTGGTGACTGTGCAAAGACTTGGGTGCTGATAAACTATCTACATTAAAGGGAACAAGACTGTATAGGAGCATTAGATTATTTTCACATCAGCATGTAAATCATACCTCATTTGCATCACTCTTTTATGGGCCAGGACTTAGACAATGTACATAATTTACATGTAGCTCTGAAAGGTTGCCATATGAATCAAACAAAAGAAGCCTTCACTATGAATTAATTCTCACAAGTCTTGTAGAAAGCAGCAGAAGCTTGAATTATGAGTATTAGGAGAGTCCCATTCAATTGTAATAGCACAGTTCCCACCAAGCTGAAGCCTAACATACCAATTACGTCCTAATCACTAGCGTGTGCTGAGGTCTCCAAATACACGAGAAATATTTACAGCAGCTGTTTGTGGAATGTCGCTTATCTTTGTATGGCTCACTTTTTAATTTTCTCTGCTTAAAATGGGAAGAGAATCAATCAACTCCCATCTTCAGTTATCTTTTCCAGAGGATGGATGTCTTGATATCATTATTAAACCAGTACTTTCCAGCTACATTCACCAAAGCCAAACAATCTAGTACAGAATACTTGTTTAGAGCATACCTTCAAATGTAAAAGTTAGCAAATTTTCGTCTCTGTAAACTGAATACTGGACATAGAGGAATTGTAACCTGCCACTTAGCTATGGCAAGCAGTAAGAAAGTAACTGCCAGCTTCGTTCCATATGTCCTTTCTAGTGTTAAAATGCTGAGTGCCACACAGCCACACCACCACAGATTCTGATCTTGCTGTGCTGCAACTACAACAGGAACACACAACGAGCAGTAACTAAGGCCAAGTAGGTTTTGCAAACTATGTTCAAGGCTAGTATAGAATAGGGGCTACTTCTGAGCCAAGCTGCCCTGACCTGAATGGCCCAGGCTAGCCCAATCATCAGATCTCAGAAGCTAAGTAGGGTCAGCTTTGGCAAAAGCTTTCTCTTGTTTTCTGCCTCTCTCTCTCTGAAACCCAGGGAGTCAAGGAATAGGCACAGACAGCAGCACTCAAAGTAGAGCATGCTAAGTCGTTCCCACCCACCCCTTAGGCCTGTCAGATAGATGAAATCTGGATACCACAGTGCAGTCCTAATCAATGGTTTCAATTACTTAAAGGTGTAGCTCTGCTTAAGATTGTACTTTACACAGTCCGAGTAGATAGCTAATACTCTTTCATACAATTAACAAGAGTCAATCGTACATCTTTAAGATGCTTTAGAGTAACAAAGTAGAAGGAAAGCCTCAAACCATCCAATCCCAACCTTCTGATCCAAACCATGGCACAGATCACATGAAAAAGTGTACTTCATTCATACTAAAATGTGCCAGATGTGATATTTACGCTGTTTGCACAGTTTGGTTGTTAAACAAGATAGTTTTCTCAACAAACTTGAAAGCCCAGGGCCCTATTTGAGCTACACAAAAAACTGCTGAATTGGCATTCTGTTTGTTTACAAACACAGAAGTACAAATTAGGCTTTATTTAAACAATCTGAGAGAGAGAGAGTGCTAGCACAAGAGAAATCTGGAGACAAAGTGAAATCATAGACCATTTTCAGGTTAATTCAGGTAATTTTAAGTATACCCAGAATCATGTTACTCATATCTATGTTCTAATGTTTCTAGAAGAGCCAGAAGACTACACTATATAAACACAGGAAAACATGTGCAACAGAATGTTTCACCTCCTTATTCTGCAATAAGAGAATGCTTCCGGGCAAGTCTAAACATGCCATTTATCTGAGTATTTAATTGACCACATTGAAGAAAAGCTTCCCTTTTCACATGCTAGCAATACTCTCCTTTCTAGATACAAATTCTCTTATTTGCCATGAGAAACTTCACTCTCTAAACTTTGCACGAACTGAATCACAAAATTCTACAGAAGACTCATATTAACTGGTAATTTAACACTAAATTCCACTCATATACCAAACAAATAATGTTCAAACTGTAGCATAATCAGTATTAATTCAATTAGTGGGCAGCTTGTTTGAACAAATGGATAAGCACTCTATTGTTTCATTCTCATGCTGCCCCCACTCTAGTCATTGCGGTGCCCTTAACAACTAGGTGGCATTGTTGTTTTTCTAACATAAGACCCTCCATTCTTTGTAAGTAGGCACCATATTTTTCCAAACTCAACAAATCCCAGATTAGAAGGTCGTTCTGAGAAACGTTTAGGCCAATAGTAATAGTGATCATACTCATCTATCTCACACAAATATGCGGTCATGAGTTTACACACACATACTTCAAAGATGTTGTGCATAACTCTGTAAAAATATTGGCAGCAAACCTCTCAGAAGATAAAACTGACCGCAAGGTACTAACTATATACATACAATTGCTCTACTTTTCCTATGCTAAAATTAAGTTAATTTGCCATTACCACATCCACATACTGAGAATATATTCAATCAACATTCACACAGAATTCTGTACATAGAGATCATGTACATAGAGTCCCACGGTATCACTTGTGTACAAATCAACTCTGATCATGCTAACTCAAAGGTCTGACCACTAAGATTAGCAAGAGCAAAACACATGGCTTCAGTTGGAAGGCCAAGGCACACACTGAAGCAGTCACAGACCCAGTTCGCCACGTACCAAAATCTGCATGGATCCCATTCAGTCCATATTCCTCACATGTCATTTACCCTGAGGACCATTTTCATGCTATATTATGAAGTATCAACTTTCAAAATGAAGGAAAGGAGATCTATGTAAGCTGCTTTGGGTCACCCATTGAGGAAAAAGCAGGGATATAAATGAAATAAATATAAGGCGTTTGTTTTCATAGGCTAATCATTACTGCACCACTGCCATATTCCACCCCAGACAAGAACATATGAAATCTGATGTCGCATTCTCTCCAAGCCTGAATATCAGATAGATTAAAGAAGAATCTTAACACCGCTATCTAGATTCTGCCACACTGCAAAAACAAGCAAAGTAGAACATTACACAATTCAGAAACAGCACATGCTTAGTAAGGTCCATGATGCTTTGGTCCCATGTATATCTCTAAAATAGAAGTATTTGTATCAAACATATTCCATTGGTGTTTTCAACTCACTTCTTCATTAACTGTATTCACTGGGAAAACATTACTGATAATACCCAAGGCCTGTCTTTACATTACCAAGCCACTATGTGTCTATGAGGCTAGACATGACCGTCTGTTTTCACTAGGAAGGAATCTGTGGTAATGAAACTCACATGGCACAACCTATATCCAGAAAGTTAATTAAGAAACTGTGTGAATCAGTCAGATGACAAATTGATTTACATTTTACTGATTTTAAGTTTATAAGAAGTCATGAAGTACACAATCCAGATCCTACAGAGGGTAGAAGGAGACACACCCACAGTGATGTAAGCTTCACAGGTAAAGGGAATTATGAGAATATAATTAAGAAATTAGTTCACTTGAGAACAGTATCAAAAGGTCAGCCAAAGCAATATCAAAATCAGACATGCTGAATTATTTTACTATCGCTTACAATTAGTTCCTTTTGTTTACACTAAGTCCCAGGCCACTTTACACCACTGCTGCACACACAATTCTCTTCCAAATCTAATATATATATCCACAACAGACAAGATATTCAAATCAATTTTACTGCATGGTACCACTTTCATACAGAAGACAGCATCATGGGTGAGACATGTATACATGTGATGAAAACACACACCTGGCCAGGTAGTAAAGACCTTGTGTGTAAAGGAGCCATTAAAAAAAATAAGCGAACCTTATGGAACTGTTGAATGTAATAGATTCACTTGAAACAAATGCACTCTGTTATCTCTTTTTAGCCTTTCATCTATACAACACTTCCTTGGGCTTGTCATCCTTCACTCACATAATACATATGATGGAACAGGTAGTCATATGGATGACTAAACATTACACAGCCATGAAATTCCAAAATTTGTTCCCTTTACATAACAGATTTGAGGGTGGGTAATGCTTAATTGCACAACCAAGCCTTCAAAAGGACAAAACATCTTTCAGCATCCTAGCTTCTCCTCCTGTGATTTTTTCCCCAAATCATCATCTACTTGTCAAACAGGTTATTCTAGGAATCTTGTTTTTATGCTCTCCAGACAGACAATATCCTTTCCTGATCTTTCCCCCCACTTTCACCCCGCCCCTTTGTACACACACCTTTCCTACACAATTAGTGACAACTGAAGACAAGGAACAGCCAGTTTTTGCATTTTCACACACCTTGACAGGTTTATAACAAAGAAGGCAAGTGATGTTTTGTTTAAAAAAGAAACTGTATGACTACTTTCAATAAAGGCCGAGCATGTCTGGCATTGACACGGTCCCAATTTCGCTCTCCTCATGATCACATCACCGTGGCTGATAATCACTTTTGCTGTTTGAAGGGGGGGGGACACAACAAACCCCAGGTCTAGCACAGGAGGTCTCTTCACTAACACCACCCCTTATGAAACCGAAGAGATTCTCTGAAAGAGGTTCAAGCTTAACATTTTGACAGTCTTGTGACAGACCCCCAGGAAATTCATTTTCCTTCACTTTTGTTTACAAAACAGGGACGGTGGCCCACAGCCATCAACTTATGCAGAATGGTGAGTGTCTGGTGTAAAGACAAAAAATTTAAAGAGAAGGAAATTCTCAACACAAACCTTGTAAACTTGCCCGTATGTGCCATTGCCTACCACTTCCACCAGCTCAAAAATCCCAGCAGGATCCTACACAACAAAGGTATGGGGGGAGGGGTAAAAAGAAAGAGAGAGAAGACATGGGGATTATAATTTTAAAGAAGTCATGACTGGCTCAATGTCTCCCAAAACACACAGTCCAGAGAAGATGTTTGGCTGTGCAGCTGTTGCGCCCTGTTTTTCAGCGCACATGCCAATACATGCAAACAAAGGAAAGCTGCCTAAGACTCAGCCCCCCCCCTTTCCCATGGCTCATACTGTAAGGGAACAAAATGGGAAGGGGGGGGGAGACAAGCCGAGCTGGCCAGGGGCCTTTCCCAGCAACAGCTACCCCTGTCGCGGGGCATGCTTGCAGCTTCTCTCCCCCCGCGACCCAGCCCCAGCCCCTCTCCCTTTCTCCTCCGCCACCCTTTTCTTTCCCCTCCGCCCCAACCCTGCTCTGAACAACAAAAGCCACGCCAGGGGAAGACGTCGCCCGCTTTTGTGTGGCTACGAGGAGGGCGAAGGCGAGCAGGGAGAAGGGGTGGGGGTCCCTCGGTCGTCGGCAAGCAGCCCCCCTTCCCCCCTCCCCGGTCACACTCACCCGCAAAGAGGAAAGGTCTATGTCTCCCAGACTTTTTGCAGGAGAGTCGTTCGCCATTTTTTTCCTCCCGTGGTATTTAATATTTTGTTTGCTCTAGAAAGAAAGGCAAAGGAGAGGTCCAGCGCTGCCACTCCAGCTTGAAAACGTAAAGTTGCTTCCAACGAGAAAAAGAGGGAGAAAAAACACCACCCCCCTCTCCCCGGAAAACCTCCTCCTTCCTCCGCTGGCTTTCTTCACTCCAGGGGGAAACTCTTCTTCATTGGAAGGAGGGAGGGGGGGGGCGAGGGGAGAGCTTCAGGCTGCTTCGCTTCCCGGTGGGAAGAAAAAAAGGGGAAAGGGGGAAAAGGCCGAGGTCGGGAGGAGTTTATTGTGAATACTGTTGTACGTGTGTGTCCCTTGCAGCTCCTCGGGCGGGCACGAGAGTCGCTCTGAGGCGCGTCTACACCATCGTGCCGAAGGAACGGCTCTTCCCAGGTTGCATCTCTCGCGCTGGCTCCCTGGAAGCGGCTACATCCAACATAGCAGGACCCCGGAGCCGGCGGTGGGAGAAGGGCGGGCGGGCGCCCCGCTTCCTCGCGCGCGCGCAGAACGGCTCGCACCCACCCACCCAAAGCAGCACGCGAACAATAAAAACGCACCCGGACGCAGGCGCTCCCTCCCTCGCTCGCGCCCTCCCTCGCCTTTCTCCTCCTGCTGCGCCCTGGGCGCAAAGAGGCTAGCCGCCGAAGGGGCGCTTGCTAAGCTGGCAGCGCTGGGAGAGGGAGACAAAGCTCGGCCGAGGAGGAGATGGGAAGGGAGGACCCACAATGTAGTCGGGGAGCCAGCGCCACCGAACAGCTCCCCCTTGCCTCCTCAGACAGGAAAACCCAGCGGAAACACAGGCGCACCAAAGCACTTCTGGGTAACTGGGAGGAAGGAGGCAGGGACTCGTCTGTTGCTCGCAGTCACTCTGGTGAAATCCATGTGAGCGAGGATAGATCAGCGTGCAACCAGGGCGTGGCGGAGAACAATAGATAACTCTTCCTTGAGTCAGGCTCAAAGCTGGGCTCTCGCAAGGAGATAGGGAAGGGAGGGGGGGATGACGTCCCATTCAGAAATTCCAAGAACAGTGCGAGCCCTGTTTGTGAGTGCCACATGTTGGTAGGGTGGGTTTGAAAGGCAGAAAGGGCCTCTCGAATAGCAAAGTCGAATGAATTGGATGGGTACTAAAATTAGATCTTCACATTTTAGCGGCGAAAAGCCTCCGCAGCCACACGGCCAATGTTAACAAGCAGTATTTACATGTAAGTCATGGGTGCACTGTCCTCTGTTCAAGTTGCTGGTTGATCGGGGCCGCATTTGGGTCATGTTTCATGAGCAAGAATATTTAAAATTAAGAGGGCCCAGTGAGTACATTTACTAAAATGAATCAATGGTAGCCAGACAATCCCAAAAAGTCAGGATTCTTTTATCTTATTCCTGCATCCCTGGTCTATTGGCCAAAGATTCCTGTCGGATGTAGGCCTAGCGATATTTGAAAAAGCTGCCATAATGTATGAATCTCTGAAAAGGCTAACAAAAGATTACTTGGAAACACTTGAAGAAACCCAGCCTGTCATTCTTTTGATCTGTTTTTTGCATGCTAATTTAACAAGCCACCTCTATATATAAAAACTATGGTATGTAACTCCATTTCATGGTCTGACAAAGTGTGCACCTGGCCCGTAGCTAACATGGGGCCCACAGGGCCTGGCCCCCTAGTGTTTCTTCTGGGCCCCCTCCCCTGGGCTGCCCCCAAAGTGCTCTAACTTGCCACCTGCACTATACTTTCATTTAATTAGCTGGCAGGCCCCCCCCGAGGCCCCCTCCCAAAACATTCCCTAGCTACGGGGCCATGCACATGAAAGCTCACATTTTGATAAAAAAATGTTGGTCTTAAAGGTGCCATTGGACTCCAGCTTTGTTGGAAACACTTGACTTTACATAAATGTTGGACAAGTTACATAATCATACAGGCTCAGAATTTTGTACACAGCCACAATCAATACTTAATTGAGTGATGATGTCTCCCATTATTCTGCTTTCTAGTCCACAATAGATCTTTACTGTGGTCATCTGCTGATACTGGATTTTTTAAAAATCATGTAAGGATGGCACATACATCTCTTACTTAGCTTAATAAATTATTGATAGAGTATGACGGGTATGATATAACCAGAATCAGGCCTGTAACTACAGTGGAGCATTTTGGGGACCCTGCCCCCTTAACTGAAAGCCCTGCTCCACAAATAGCCATGCCAGAAACCTTTTTGAGGAGAGACACACACCCCCTCCAGCAGCCAGGGTGAGACTCAGTTTGCCTTCAGGCTTCTCTCTTCCTCCCGCTGTGAAATTGGGGGAGGGGCTATCATGGGACCTGGGAAGATACAGCTTAGAGGGCATTTAATTGCCTTCAGAAAGCATTTCAGTACCTTTTGAGTTCCCTTCCACAAGGCAAGAAAGCTTAGAAGGGCACTCAAGAGTAGCACCTTGAATACATCTCCAGCTAGCCCCCTTTCTGCTAGCCCAGTCCTGTTGTATACCACCTGGCTCATGCTGAGTCTTTCAAAAGCATTCCCACTGATGGACCTCCCGATGGCACCTGGTATTTTTGGCCACTGTGTGACAGGGGGTTGGACTGGATGGGCCACTGGCCTGATTCTCTTGTGTTCTTTGAGCCTTTGGGAAACATGCACATTAATCTGAATGCCCTTCTAAGCCTTCTTGGCCTGTGGAAGCGAACTCAAAAGGCATTGAAATGCCTTCTGAAGACAATTAAATGCCCTCTGAGCTGTTTTTTCCCTTAAGAATTGACACACTTGCTGCCCTGTCCCTTGAAAGGAAGGGCTAGAAACAGGCTTGGAGCCTTCCCCTTTAAAGACAGGCATTCAGATTAATTTAATTAACTGTAATTTAACTGCCCCCTTAAAATTTTAAATGCCCCCAAACAAAATAAAATTCCTGGCTACGGGCCTGACCAGAATGCTTTTTGGTCTTTCTAGTGTTATGAGAGACCAGGGAAGGCTTGCATGCTCTAAGGATCTAAGTGGACCATGTCTCTCTACAGAGAACCATACAACCTAGATTCCCAACGTCAGGGATGAAGGATGGATTTTGCTCTCAATGGAGTGATTTACTTTTACCCATGGGAATTAGTGGTACCCATTCACAGGGGGCAAAGGTGGTGATTGGGAACGGCTTCATCCAGGGATCACCTTCCTTTTTGAGCCTGTGGGCACCTTTGGAATATCAATAGATGGTGGTGGTCAGTGTTCCCTCTAAGCTGAGTTAGTGTGAGTTAGCTCACAATTTTTTAGCTTCCGGCTCACACATTTTTGTCTTAGCTCAGGAAGGATGGCTCCAGTGCAGACTAATTTATGCAGCAGCCAAATTGCTCGCTCACAACTTTAATGCTGGTAGCTCACAAAGTAGAATTTTTTGCTCACAAGACTCCACAGCTGAGAGGGAGCATTGAGATCCACCACGGAAAGGGTGCCACTGGAGGTGGAGCCAAGCACAATGCCTCTCTCCTCACTTTGCAGAAGAATTGCAGAAGGAGAATAAGAAGAAATGAAGGGAAGCCCAGAGAAAGGAAGGGTGAAAAATAAGGGGGGAATAAAGAGAAGGAAAGCCTAAAGGGAGAATGGAACCACAAGTCTGGACGCTTACTAGTCCTCCCAGTCCTTCAGGGGCTGCTGCTATTGCATCCATGGAAACCCCTTTCATTTAAATGAGGGTAGCCAATAAGAAGTCCTGCCTTAGAAGGCCCCACCCACTTTCTGAAATGCTTGGTGGGTGCCAGAAAGGGGGGGAAGGGGAATGGAAGGAAGAAAAGAAAAATACGGAAATATTCAAAAAGTCCAATTTAGCTTTCTGCATGCATATCTTCTCATTACAATTTCACAGCTACTTCATCTACCATTCTTATTATTCTTCACTTAATTTTATTTTCTTAATACTTAATACCCATAAATTCTTCTTCCATTTTGCCTTTTAATATATTTGTCAACTTGCCCATTGTTTAGTGAGTATTTGTGTGTGTGTGCGCATGTGCGTGTGTGTATGTGCTTGAGAGCCTAGGGCTAGGATGTTTTCAGAGAGGTGGCTTGATCTGGGGTGCAGCCTGGGGAGGGTGGGGTTTGAGGAGGCTCAGTGGGGTATAATTACCTTCCAGAGCAGCCATTTTCTCCAGGGAAACTGATCTGTGGCAACTGGAGATTACTAGTAAATCCAGGAGCTCTCCAGGCCTCACCTGGAGGTTGGCAACCCTAGTGTTATTGCATCCAAAAACCCAAGATGTGGGATTTCCCATCATTCTGTGAACTGCAGCACATACACACACACACATGTACACACACACATATGTATGTGTGTGCATAAGAACTAAGCAATCATAGGATCATAATGTATTTTCATAATGTATTTAACACATTATTATATAGTTTCAGTACCATCAAATTCAGAACTGGACCTCTGGGAAACTAAATGGATATCAATTTAGAGAGAAAAGTGGATACAAAAAGTTGATTGAGCCTGAAAATAGGGATACTTCCTAAACCATTATCAGCTACCAGTTGAAGAGATAGCAAAAGAAAATAAAACTTGTTGCTCCAAATAAGACTTTAAATATATCTCTTTAGAGATATGAGACTATTATATGAAAAAGATTAGTCTTCTTTGATTACAGTAACATAAAATTACTATGAAATAATGTCATACCAGTATTTGACACTATAGAAGCTAAAGCCAATTATCCTACTGTGGTTAAACTGCTGGAGATAGAGGCATGTTAAAGTCATTCTAGTGCATGTATGTGGTGGCAATGTCCTTAAGTTCAAAAAAATTGGCAAATAGCATTAAGTAAAAATTCATGAATATTAGAATATTGGTCCCATTGGCTCCAGAATTCGTAATTTTGGGATATTTTAAAAAAGCAAAAAGAGAGAAGTAATTTTCCCTTTAATAATGGCAGCAAGTGTTTTTACTGTCTCTGCTGCAGAAAAGAGTTGAATTATGGAAGATTAAAAGTTGGATTTTCCTGTTATGCTGGAAGTTAACATGCTTTTTTTCCAGAAAAGGTAGACATAGACCTATAGAGGCTATAGGGAAGAATGCCCTTCTCATTGAGAA